CCGCGGAATTTCCGTCTATCAAGCTCATGCGAATCTCTCTTAATTTCGGCAAATCGCCAGGTCGCGCGGGGAATGGGGGACTGCGAAAGTATGGATGTTGAAGAGCATCGATTGCATTGATCCTTTTGCGCCAATCCAGTTTAAGGAGCTCACTTAGGAGAGATATAACTCCTGCTCCTTGCCTGCGGGAAATGTTAGAATTAACAGGAACGTCAGGGTTTATTAGAGCGTTATTAGATATCTACGACGCACTCTTTAAAAACAGTGGCAAGGCTGCCTTGCATACTCCCGAAATTCTTCACAACATCGCAACCCGGTAATGAACTCCATCCCGGCATGTTTTCTTCCGTCGGGGTGCCAACAAGGCTGAATATGAGATGAGCCTGGTTTATATCACTGCTGCCAGCGAGAATTGGCTTTCCTTTGAACATTTCGCCGAACACACAGCTGTGTGAGGGTTAGTTATGTGTTAAATGTAATTTATTTTCACCCATTGCAGGGTCGCTTACCCGACACCCCACATGTCGATTGCGGTAGTATATTTCCGAAGGTGAAGTAGGAGTTCTGGCGGCCTGTACCATCGAGTAACAACTAACGTTGTATACTCTCTCACTGCTTCACCGCCTCCTTTGCCAGGTTTGGGTGGCGATTCGTCATATGGTCGAGCCAGACCGAAATCTGCAATCTGAAGGATGCCTTTATTATTGATTAGAAGGTTCGCAGCTGGAAATTCTATTAGTATATAAACGTAACGAACCCCGACTTTTGTATTCTCTGACCTTTCATGTCACGATGTAATATTTTATTCTAAGCAAGGGTTAGTTAGCTTGGCATGGGAAAAAGCCCCTGAACTGCGGAAGTATGCACCTCATGTAAATACCGTAGACCCTCTAAGAGTTGCAGCATATAACACTTGATCTGGGGTTCGGTAAAGTGAACGCTAGGGTTTTCTAGAAGACCTGAAAGATCATGGTCCATGTATGGAGTGACCATGTACATGCTAGGTTTTTTCCTTCCTTCTCCTTTTCAATTGTAAGCCCCGCCCATAAAACAGAGAGAGGGATACATTCGTGTAAACCAACCTCGAGGACGCTCAACCGCCATTTCCTGAAGTTGTAGAACATTCGGATGCGAAAGCATCTTGAGAAGTTTTATTTCCCGCAAGGCTGTTATAGGAAACTAAGTGCCTAGATTAGACAAAGTAGATACAAAATATATATAACGGTTAACTTACCCCATCCTTCTCATTATGCATTAGTATCTTTTTCAATGCAACTATGGCACCCGACCGTTTGGAGCGAGCCTTGTACACTTCGCTAGAATTGGTAAATATCTTTTTGTTAGTCACCACAAGAAGTCCGTATATTTCTTCACATACCCGAATGTACCCTCTCCAAGCTTCCCCAGAAATTCGAACTCTCGAATATTTGAGCAGCCATGAAACCGCGGATTTCCGTACTCATCCCGTTCCAAAGGAACTTTGGATGGGGGTGAGGAGTTGGGGATGACCATATTTATCGAGGTTAGACGGGCTGGCCTCCCTCAACGAGGAAATTGGTTTTTTATATTCGTCCTCTCCAGCAAGTAAAACTTTCATGAGAATCTTTTCACACAGAATCGACATGAAAACGAGCACCCTTATGGTGTCGGCGTGTTTATGTGGTGGTCAGGAGCAGACTGTGCGAACATCGGTTCACGTCACATGGATGCATCGAGTATGGGCGTGTTCGATAACGAAGGATATTCAAGGTTCGGGCAAAGGATGGATGAAGCACAAGCTTTTTCGATAGTATATGGAGCTTTTCCTATAGCTAAAAAAAACTGTCCTTTGGATCCTGAGGAGGTAAATAATTCATGCACCACGCATATGTGATTTGGTCGTGTTTTAGTATAGTGGTGAAGCATTTATCCCCTCATGCCCGCCAGAGCATATCTTGCGAGACCCTTGTGCGTATAGGTAGTTTCGAAATGTAATTCCTGGTTTCCAAACAGGAGTCATCGGCAACCGAAGACGTAAACTTGTGGCAGATGAATGAGAAACCGAAAGGGGAAATTCATGTCATGTGACTCGGATCGATCTGAAATCTCCCTCTACCGAAGTTCAATTGAATGTCCCAGTTGCAGGTTCAATCGTGTCCCTCACAGCCCAGTTGAAGGTATGTCCCCAAAAATCAATTACACATTTGCTCTTGCTGACTGTTATCGGGGAACAAGCTTTCTGATTAGAGCTTCCAGCCATGCCTTCAAATCATCCGATTCAAGTCCGCGCAACACGGCCATTGTACCGATTCGCCGCGACCGCTCTTGGAGCCAGCATGTGGTTTTTCGTACGTTCAAGCTAACAAATTCTTATGTAGACAACTGAAGTCTACTTCAAGCATTCTGACTTGCTCTATGCATATTGCTTTAGTTGATGTATCGCGCTAAGAAAGACGGTCCTGTTCTTCTCGGTTGGAAACACCCTTGGGAGCATTGAATTGATGTTTTTTACGATGACTCAGAGCAGAGGAAATGGAAAGGAGTATTCCTAGAAAGATAGATCTCCACTAGGAAATGGAATTATACAGTCGTGTACAACCCGACGCATCGCCAGTGTCATAGTAGTTCGAGGCAACGAGCAACTGCAAATTCTCGATAAGCAGATGGATGCTATGGATTGCATGCATTAGAGGATATAATGGGTATAATATTCTTTCTTTTCCTATGGTCGCTTTCAATAAGGCATAAAATCAAGTTATATGCTTTTGCAAAATTCCTTAAACCCATAAATCTATCCCATTTTCTACCTCTTCTAAATTCGAGTGGTGACATCTGCGATAGTATATAATCCTGAAAGAGGGAAGTTTATATAATAAGTCTATGATTCTTCAAGCAGACTCTTATACCGACGCCGCTGTTTTGCTTGATCTGGACGAAGCCAGCAATGAATGCGACCAACAAGACGAGCCAATCTGGGGAAAACCAATCGTTCCCCAAGCCATGCGATTGAAAAGTTAACAAGTGCTAGTCCCATAATCCAAAACTTGAACCGAGTAGACATTTCGGTAAGTTGCATGAAATTGAATAACCATTTCGCTGGTTCAAATAGCATGTACGAGGAGAACATAAATGTAACTATGATGGTGACAACAAAGGGTACTGCATTTATTCCCTCATCAGCTTCCAGTGAACAAAAAAGAGGATGAGACAAGAAAATGTGATATAGTGAACTAGAGTAAAGGGTTGGAGGATAATTCACGAACCGTTCGAAGTCATTGGTTGCCGGAAGGGAAGCCCTACGCTGATCACAGGGCCAGAAAATATATATTCGAAGCAGGACAAAAGGAAAAGTGCCGTGTTTTGGGAATTTTTCACGTTTGTATCGTTGAATTTCTTCTTCGGTGGAATATACCTAAAGGAAATGAGGAATGTTAGGAGTTGGATATCCAAGGATCATGTAAGATTCTTTACCAGTCTTGGAGCTGAACAGTCTCAAAAATAATGAGCTGCATTATGATACAAATACCGATTTGACCGAGAAGCGGAACTAAAACTTTGAGGGAAACTAGATTTGAGGTCGGAGCCTTGCGGCAAAGAATAGAGCTTGGTCCAATCCAACCCACTAAAACAACGGTTAATAAATGCCAGGTGAAACAGAATACCGTTAGCAGTGAAAACTCACTAAATATTGCAATGGGCAGGATCAAGAGAAGGTCGATAAATAAATACTATTCGCGGATCAGCACTCTCCACTTGGGTTTGGTACCTGACTGGGCTTACCTGGAAGTCTCCTAGATTGGATGCTGAAGTATATAGAAAGCTCACAGAAGTGAACTGGATGGCGGAATATAAGCTCATAAATTTAAAGCAACAGAAGCTTGTGACTAAGGCCGCTCTTCCTTCCCTATGCTGCATTAGCGCATGGAGCCCGCCATCCGTACCTTGAGCTGACTTACCTGATCACTTGTGGTACGCATGATATATCAAACACTCGACTGGTAAACGGAGCCGCCACTGACGCCTCTGCCTCAGAGAGAGAAATGCCAACATCTGCGGCCTTCAGCGCTCCGCAGTCATTCGCTCCATCACCACAAAACCCGCAACAATAATCTAGAGACTGGAGTTTTTCGACCAGTTCATGTTTTTCGTCAGGAGACATGCGGGCAAACACTTGACCGCGGACAAGCATCTGTTTTTTCAGGTTAGGTCTAATTATCGAAAGAAAGCGTGTGAACATACCTTATTTAGGACTTCCGTAGAGCCGTAATCAACAATCCATCGAAATATATCCCCAGTTACAGCTATAGAGTA